GGCTGCTCGAAACTCGTATACAATAGAATTACAAATCAGAGCGCCCATTCATCTGTCGGGCTCCTTCAAGCAGCTCAAATTCGAGAGGAAAACTACCAGCAGGGCCCAGAACGAGAGTGGAGAGTGAGGGCAGCACACGCTCTGATGAGCCACCGTCCTCCGACTATACCCCGCCTGCCCTTCCTGCAGGTATGTTCTCACACACGGTGAGGTCCGCACATAGGACAGATGCCCTGTCGCCTGATTAGTGTGAGGGGAACAAGGATAGCAACCTAACTTCCCAGCTCTCCTTTTCAACCTTCCACATCGGTCACCAGAAAGCACCACAAGGTGGAAATTACGTATGGTTTATCTTGCTCAGTGCGTTCTGCTTGGACACTTTCCTTTACTGGAGGGAGTCCAATCCCTGGCAGACACCAAGGAAATACACCTGCATTTACAGCTTCTAGATCTCTGACTTTCTTCAGACCTCTCTGCAGATGGCTAAGTGCAATCATTTATGTTTTGTGAGCTTCTGTTTGAGAGGGGGACATTTTTGGATTCTTTCTCCAGATCCTTGGAACGCACCTCCTTCATTCCTGCAAGCCTCAGGCACAGACTACAGTCGGGGCCGTGGGGGGGAAATGTGTATGTGTATTTACTAACTAAAATGAACTAAATACTCAGACCATTTCTATACTAACATCAGAAATGTGAGGAACAGAGGTTAAGCCAGTGCTTTACTATTCAAAAAAAAAAAAAAAAAAAAAAAAAAAAAAAAAAAAAAAAAAAAAAAAAAAAAAAAGAAAATGCCTTTAAAACTTGTGAAATAGCCAGATGGTCATATTCCAAGCAGCAAGACCTTCAAAATATTTTTTGTCAAAAAACACGAGGTTTCTGAATATGTAAAAATCAGCAGAAAATTAACCAGGTGACAGAGTCATTCACTGAGTAGTGGCTTCCAAACCCTTTTAAAAAGTATGGAATCCTTTTTTTTTCAAAAAGAGGCAGAATTTTATTTACTGAAATCTTACCTTAGGCAGCATCCAGTGGGGGGGCTGCACTGAATGAAGGGAGAAAGCGGGAGCCCCTTGGGGGCCCATCCCACTGGCCCCTGAGCACCACCTGTTCTCTAAGACTCCCTAGATCATAGTTTCAAAACCCGTTTCCATGTAAGAATCGGAGGCTACCAATTTTTAGGTAATAGCGTCCAGATAAATATATCAATTTGGATAGGATAGGACATGAACAAATCGTTCACAGCATTCCTTTAGGAGAGAGATTTGTGGGGGAAGAACGCAGTTAGCGGAGTGAAGGAAAAACAATTTTAAGAACATCTGATTCAATTTTCCTGCATGCTATCCATCCAGCAAAAGCCCTGGGTGAACGCATGAGGTACAGACCAGTCGCTTTAAAAATGTCAGCGCGCATCAGAAGCACTCGAGGTGCTTGTGAATAAAAGCACCAAGGGTCAGCAGGGAAAAGCCTCATGGGATTACGAAATGTCTACGTCCCATCAGAGACACTGATTCATGACGTCAGGGTCTGGCCTTCGGCATCAGAGCTCCCCAGGTGATTCGGACGGACGCTGCAGACAACTGGTAGATCACACTTTGATAAAGAGGAGAGAGGCCTTACAGGGAAGATGTGGGAAAGCTATAGGGCATACTTTAAAAGCAAGCGCAGAACCACTTCTGTCTTGCTGCTGGGAACATGCCTTCATTCGGAGTGGGACAGAGTAACAACACTCTTTTCTTTTTAAGTTCCTAGATATATTTTTTTTTATAAATCGACCTACATTCCATTGTCCCAAATTAGGTAGAATTAAAAACAATTCTGAGTATAAAGTGCTGGTTCTTGCTTCAATGTTATCACCTCAAGGAAAAACCACACAAAACTATCACCTATTCTACTGACCTATTTGGCCAAATAAGTACAAATGATGTATTCGGATCCACATGAATCTGTAAATTAACATAACCTTTACAGTTTCCTAGTTAGTGCAAATTTAAAATTCCATAATATACAGTAAATACAATTTTACTTTACATTACAAATGCAAACTATTTTTCTTTTGACATGCTGGTAGTGTTCATTTTTACAACGCAAAAAGGACTTGACAATTTCTGAGCCACAGAATATTTTACAACTCGAAGTAGGCAAACATATTTCAAAAAGCAAATACGACACATTCTGACACACCCTAAAAAAATAAAAATAAATAATTTTGACTATAAAATTTTTATAAACAGTAGCTACATTAGGGGTTCCCAGCTAATTGCTGCAGAAAACCTAAAACCCATTTAAGGTCGTGTAACCTCACTATCAGACAACTTGTGCTTTAAAACACAAGTCAGTTTGATTTCTACGCAACATAAAAAGCACTGAGAAATTATCACCATCTACTTATGGGGTCCATAAGAGCTGCCAGGTGTTCAGTGTTTAAGCCACGAAGTTGAAGGGGTTAGGAATGTAGGAGGACAGTAAAGGGGGAGAGGAATCTGAAAACAGACATGGAGCTAGGCTTCGCTTTATGTATTTCTTCCTGAGAACACAGAATTTGTTTTCGTGTTTAGTCAAGACAATTTAAAATGGAACAGGAAAATATTATGGCAAATGATTTTTTGTAAAGTATAGAATCACTGGTCATGTCAACAACCGCGACTCTTAAATATACTTAGAATATACTTGCAACATGAGTCTTGTAAACTATCCTTTTGAAAACAAGACCCGTGCCTGTACATTTATTTGAAATGCCGGACAAATGTGCCTAAAAAGTAAACGGACTTTGCTAAAATAAGATGTGTGATGACATGGTATTCAAAAATAAGTTTCCTAAATGAATCTGAATGACTGAGACTAAGGTAACGGAAAAGCTTCATGAAGGGTCAGCAGGGAAAAGCCTCATGGGATTATGAAAATTGAAAAAAACAATTTGTTTAAATAAACAAGGGTGTTGTATATAAACCTGTTCTAGATCCGATGTAACATTATGGTTATTACCAAAGCTTTCTAGCTATTTTGATGATTTGAATTCTGGCATCCCAAACTATTTACTTTGATTCTACAATTAGCACTGTGGAATTATAGTAAGATAAATTGTAGCCTAGATTTATAAAATGGGATACCTGTAACAGTGTCGACCATGAGTTAAGGAATAAAATTCGTTATACTCAAAACATGATCGGTCCATAAAAGAAAATCTACAAAACTCTGCCACCAATAGCGACAGGTTCCCTACCATGAAAGGTGTATGAAAAGGTGAAAACAGATCCGCTCGCAAAATCTGTCAATACTAGAATTTACCATCTCCTGTTGAGATGTGGAAGAGGTTAACTGAAGCAGAATCAGAGTATTTTATATAATGCACTGACTACTGTATCACTACTAAGTTTTTCCTTTAAAACATGGCTTTGGCCTGAAGGTGAATGAAATTTAAGTTTAATGGCAATTCACGGATGGTACATTCATAATAGATCCTTATAGGAAGCTAATGGTGTTTTGGGGGATACAGTCTCGTCTTTCAGAGATTAACGGCATGAAAGACCACCAAGCCCACAAATGGGCCATTTGTTAGGAAAACACCACACTGGTGGCCCAAGGGTGTGCCTCACTGGCCTGAGGGATCAGGAGGGTTCACACCAGGAGAGTGCCATCTACTGGGGAACCATGAGACCAGCCCTTCAATCAGTTTCTGGCAATTGAGAGTCAAATAAAACAATGAAACAAAACTTTCAGTTACGTAAAGGTAGTTTGCCAGTGCTTTCATTCTCCCTCTTTTTAAAAAATATTGAGTAATGTTTCCGAAGAATGAGAATATCTGGATGATATTCCAGGAAAATTAAGTTATGGGTTTTACTTCTTTAGTCAATAGGCTACATTTCTGATTGTGACTAGCTGAATTTATGTGACGAATTTAACTTATTAAATAAAGCCATATATTGTAAACACTAAACACAAGTATACCACAATGAAGAAAATAAATAAATAAAAAAAATCTCTCTCTCATTTTAAAATAAATACGATATAAACATTTTAGCACAGGATTCTGTCTGTTTCCCCAAGGGGAATTTCTGTACTTTGGATATAAAAGACTACTGTACTTCAAATACTACAAGACCACTGAACTTTTAGAAGTTACTAATCATTATCAAACTTCTTTTGAGCAACTAATAGGACAAATACATTTTCTGTAGTACTTTTTTTCAATTGTTGATACTGTCTCTTACTCAGGAGAAACTGGTTAACAGTCTAGCTTGGAAACTTTCAATCCGAAGTGCTGTGAATGTCAACTGTTACCTATTCAACTGTGTGGCTGTCTTCTGGCTCCACAGGGTCATAAATGAGATGCTGAATTTCAGCTCAACGTGGTCATTAACAGGGTTAACCAAGCAACATCTGGGGGTCTCAATCTGCTCCTAAAAGTTATATAAAAAATTTAAGTAATGTCTTCCTTTAACACTTCTCCTTTTTAGGTTTCCTGGAAACAGATCCGTATGGATCCACACAGTGCTAGGCTGAGAAGTCTTCGGGGGCCAGCCGCGGCGGAAGGCCCCGCACTAACCCTGGGGGTAGGACACCAGTCATCTCCGTTCAAAAAAGCAAGTTAACTTTTCAAATGTTAGGATGGTGTCACAACATTAAGAATTAAGATGGCAATTGATTCTTCCACCTACATCTTGTCCATCAAATGTGTGTTCAAGAATAAGGAAGGAGACTGTGGACCTCAGAGCGAGTCCTGCTCTCACACATCAAGCCATGACAAACATCTCACCTGCAAGTCATTAGCCCTCTGGGACTTTGTAAAGTTAGTACTATATGACGGGACCATTTTGCTGAAAAAAGAACAGGCATCTGTAAACAACTGGCAATTTGGCTGTTTTTGGAATGCTATTTACACAGATGTATACCCATTCTACCACTGGTGAAATTAAGACCAAACAGCTGATAGAGAATTTTACTCCTGGACAAATATGTATCTACTTGTTTGGGAGAATTCTAAACTTTCATTCCTCATCCATCTACTCGGTTTCCTTTATGTCCTCTTGATCTGAAGTACTGGAGATATCATCGTCCGTCTGTTCTCCAGAGAAATACAACATCATTGCGTGCGTCTTGTGAGTTATGGTGACAGTGCAGGGGCCCTGGGCCCACGGCTCCCCATCTACCTGCATTGGCATCATCGAGCACTTCAAAATCAACTGGTATTAGGGAACAGATAATTAGAAACAAGTAAGTCCCCAGAAGCTCAGAAAGGTCTTCCTTAGTAGTATCATCCACAGTCCCTTAACTTTTCTAGGGACAATTATGAGCATTTCCTTCTTAGAAAATTAATCTGAATATATCTTTATCATCAGTTGTTTAAGGGATTCTTTTCCACTGAACACTTTGTTTCTTCCCCATCATATCGAAGCCTTTGGTGGAGGCTGAGTGACAGTGTGGGTGTAAGCCACTGTTTATTTATTTACTTTTTAGAAAAAAAAATCTTAAGTTAATTTATTTATTTAGAGAGAGATAGAGTGCATAGTGCATGAGCAGAGAAGGAACAGAGAGAGAGAGAGAGAGAGAGACAGAGAGACAGAGAGAGACAGAGAGAATCTGAAGCAGGCTCCCTGCATTGCCAGTGCAGAGCTTGAGGTGGGGCTCAATCCCATGAACCCTGAGTTCATGGCCTGAGCCAAAATCAAGAATCGGATGCTTAACTGACTGAGCCCCCCGGGTGCCCCTGTGCACCACTGTTTCTGGAAAGCTATAGTGTGTATTTCTTTCGCTATGGATCAGTGGCTTAGAAATGGGACTCAATGAAATACAGAGCAATATATCACTTACCCGCACCGTATGTGCTTGTCCTATTCGAAAAGGGTTTGCCAGTTTCACCTGAATCTGAGCACAGTGGAAAGACCCATACACTCCAACGACCTCTAGCAAACCGTCATCATGCCTACAGTTGGAAAAAGGACACATGGATTGTGTGATGCAATGAAGTAAGATCAGTCACGTTAAGACAAATACTTTTTCACAGCGGTGGACAATCAACTTATTATTTAATAAGGTATTCATATTAATGACACATACAAAAATAGAAATTTGAAAAAATATTAGTCTATAAACAACAGAGTGCCTAAAAAAATTTTTTTTAAGTTTATTTCAAGAGAGAGAGAAAGCACAAGTCAGGGAGGGGCAGAGAGAGAGAGGGAGAGAGAAAGAACCCCAAGCAGGCTCTGCACTGTCAGTGCGGGGCCCAACGCAGGTCTTGAACCCACGAACCACAAGATCATGACCTGAGCTGAAGTCGGATGCTTAATCAACTGAGCCACTCAGGCACCCCAGATTG